CGATAGAGATGTTAATGTTGGAAAAACCTGAGCCACAGTTGATCATCCAGGACGAACCTAGTTAAGCATGCATGCTAACATTTTCTGCTAATGCTAAATCCTTTTCCTACACTTTTGTTATTATATTTATAAATGTTCATTAATTCTTCTTTTGTTTATGTTTCATTTGTACTTTTTTCATATATAAAGCATAATTTGAAATTTCCAGGAAAACTGAATACCTGATAAAGATCGGTAACAGGGGCGAGGTTGCAAACTATAGAAAGGCTGACCAGGAGCTGATTGATTCTCTTGAAAAATGTGCTGTGGACAAATCCTTTAAACAGTGGAAAAATAAGGTGACTGCAAGATCACAGATCAGCTTTCTATGTTACTAAAATCCACTTCATGACTAATGTGTTTGTTGCAGTTTCCACAAAAGGTGGTTCAGAAATTGGAAGGTAGAAAGCCCTACACTGAAAACACGTTGGCATTACTGCGCTTCATACGCATTCTCCTTGTGCATTAGTAAGTTAAACTAAATGATTCTATCTATCTATCTATCTAGAACCTTGCTTATCTTATTTACCATACAGTAATAAAACCTTCCTTGTTCACAGTCCCGAGGAAGCAGCCCAAATTGATGTTCTGGCATTGTTTCCTGATCTCTTTGGGAGTATTTACACATTTGCAAAAAACCAAGGCTGGAATTCAGAGACACCATTAAAGGAAATGTTTCAAAGAGAAGACAGCGAGGATAGTAGCACAGTTTTGATGATGCCATCTAAAAGCACGGAGGAGTCCCTGGGTATCCCCGTTCAAGAGTCTCAACCCAGTGAAGTGAAAGTTGTCAGCAGCCATAAAAAGTAAAATAATAACTGCTAGTAGTAGCAGAGATGTCATGTCGGTGTGCCTCCTGCTGCTCTGTTAGTTCTTAAGGGATCACGACAGAAGACACTGATCTGCTGTGGTGATCCACATGTTTGCACATAGTTGTCCTTCCTTACACAACACTCCATTTTACCAGCACTAACATTGCAGCATGTTCAAGCTAGGTCTGCTCCTTAATGGAGCCACAACCAAGACCCTTAGACTGAACCAGCTAAATGGATTTTAGACACGATGTATGATTTATACTTGTGTGAAATAAGTGCCTGATGTTTTGAAAAAGTAACTATTGATTTTTAAAAGTATGAGAGAAATAGGTTAGAATTACAATTGTTTGAGTCTCTTTACTCTATTATTTTAATTTTTTTTATTTTTGTGAGGGTGTGTACTGTATTTATACACAATTACGCTGCTTTTGTCTTTCTGTTTTTTTTGTGGTTGCTTATTGCTACACTTTATTTGTACTCAATTCTTTTTCTACAGTAGTAGAAACTACTACTACAGTAGTACAACATTATATTTTTATTCAGTTAATCTTCAAGTTTAATTCTACATTATATGGGGGG